AGACAAATCAAAAAATGATTTTCAGTAATATTAGTTCCTGTTTTAACTAATTCAATGCTTTTTTAAGAAGATAAAATAAAAATGCCTACAAAAGGTTGGAGAGGCATCTCAAATGTCTTCACTGAAGCTGATGTTTTTAAAAGACGATTATTCGAAGCAGAGGAAGAGCGCCAAGTTTTGGCAGATGGTGTCCTTGCATCAGGATTGTTCACTTGAGGTGGTGCAGGTATTTTAGGAAGTGATGACTGCATTTCTTCAGGATTTGAGTTATACTTCATCAGAGCCCAGTTTGAACTCAACTCTGATTATAAATAACAAGAAAACCATCTATTTAGATACACACAAAATTATATTATTTTCAGTTTGTTTGTTTTTTAATTTGATAATTAACACTGAAAAATCAATTAATCCAATGCTATTTTTAAACTCCCAAATTTAATGGTACATTGTATAAGCAATAGTGTTTCAACTATCAAACTCGTTTTCACTTGAGGTGAAAAGAGTGCGGGTAAATGCCATAAAGCCATCACAGTGAAGGATTTAAATGCTTAAAATGAATAAATTATAGTTCCATGATCAAAGGCAAATTAAGGAATTGCAAAAAAAATTTTGAAAAAACGTGTAAAGATAACTCTTACATAACAAATTATTGGCTTTATTGCATAATTAGAATACGTTACATTAGTTTTTTTGATTGACTTACTAATTTAATGATCTAAAATATTTGCTCTGACATTTATACAGCATTTTGTGGGTTTGGGAAGTTGATGGTTTTTAAACAAAATTTACTCTAAATATTTATAACATACATTTCTCAGCCTGCAAATTAGTTGCTCATAATAACATATTCTAACACAAGCTGTAAAGTTTGATTTATTAAATTAGAATGCAGTGAGATAAATAAATATTTGCATAACTTTAAATTGATCACCCTAAGTAAGTTTTGAATAAAATTCCACAATATTTTTCTCTGCCTTCAACCATCTGACATGTAAAAATGAAGTTATGGCTCTATTTTTTTAGTTGAATGTACTTTTTGTTTTTTAAAAAAGATGCCAAAGGAAATTAATCTCAGTGCAAATTCAACAGAGGCCTGCTATTTTAGGGTGTTTTAAAATATTATAAATCATATTCAGTTAATGAAAGATTGTCTTGGGGCTATTGTAAGCATGATTGTTCTTAATTAAAATCATGAAAAACCACCCAAGGAAGCAATCATGCTCTTCATTCTCCAGATCAAGCAGTGTCACCTTCCATTCAAGACTCATAATGCAATCTACATACCATGCTGGTTTTGGATCTTATTTTTTTCTTCAATGTTGTGCAATGTAAGTGTTCTATTTTTGATAGGTGAAGGGTCTAGGGTCAAAAGTGCTGCTGCAGGGATGAGGCCCCTCTCCAGTAGACTAAGGATTCCTTTCCTAGCATCTTCTTCTTCGATTGGAGGAGGTGCAAGCTTTACAATGGTAAAAAGATGGACTTAATTTAAAGTTCACTTTTAAAATTTATACATTTTTGTTTCAAAAGTCTTGACATACATGGCTCTTACATTTGTTGTTGTAGAACAGCGGTTCTGAATCTGTGGGTCGCAACCCCTATGGGGGTTTAATGACCTTTCCCAGGGGTCATCTAAGACCATTAGAAAATATGTACACTCCACAGTTAAGAAGTAGCAATGAAAATAATTGTGTGGTTGGGGGTCGCCATAACATGAGGAACTGTAATAAAGGGTCACGGCATTATGAAGGTTGAGAACCACTGTTGTAGAATTTTAAATTTTTAAAACATTCAAAGAAAACTTACTGATGCATCAACTCTATTGGCTTTTGGTAAAACTGTCAAGTGTTGAATGGTGGAGCCAGTGACTGGTTTTCCTTCAATCTATTTATTTCATATAAAATAAAAGTGTTACACTGATTCAGTCTACTTGGAAATACTTTGAGCAAAATAATATTTAGTATACAGCTAGAATGAACATGTACTTTTTTAAAACTAATTTTATAATAACATTGGCATACATTACTACATTTCAATAATGAGCTGCCGACCAACACAGCAAAAGTTTACAGATAAAATAATAAAATAAATTTAAACATTGCTTTAAAAATCCAATAGAAATCAAGAGCCTAATAATTAATATGTACTTATATACAAAAATCATATTCTGCTATTTTGATAAGCCTTTAAGTGTGGTAGAAAGTTATACACAATTCAGCATACCTTTTGAGCTTTCCTGTCATTTATTAGTGGAAGCTGTATTCCAAAGCTTTCCTTCATAACATTTCTATTCATCTGATTCTGAGGGTTAATTATTGTCCTAAGTGTCCATTGCTGATGATGCTGAAAAGAAATAAGTATTTAAAATAGAGTTGATGCAACTAAATCACAAATATAAAGCCTATTAGAATTTCTTTTCCTTTCAGACAGTTGAATTCTTTTTTTAAGTAACATCTTCCTCATTATAAAAAACTAAATTATAACTAATATTCCATTTTATTTCCTTAAATTTTAGTATTAAATCTATTTATATTGTTTTTGATAACCCAATGCAATATTTACATTTTTTACACATTTAAATTATTGTATTACTTTTTGCCCTGGAGATAATCCTTGTAACTGCAACAATCTCCTCACTGGTAGCTTCACACCAGATGGCAAAGGCTGTCGGCTCAATAGTGTTCTGTTTGGGAAATAAGAGACATAAAAACCCAAATAATAATTTGTAACTTTTTGGTTAAATCAGAAAAACTGACTTTAAAATGTATTAAAATGTAGTATTGACAAGCACAAACATATATTATATATATATATATATATATATTTATCAACAGGCAATTACTCTTTATAATTATGAAAATTGTTTTACCTATTTTGTACATATGATGGTCTCCCATTAACTCCACTCTGCAATTCTATTAAACTCTCAGAAAAAGCTTCTTCTTGTGAAGTTCTATTTATAGGAAGCATCTGTGCCTGATTGTTAAGGCGGTAAACTATATCTTCTGTGTGGCGCTAGTAACGTTTATTTTATATATAATTAGACAGAATCTAAAAGAAATGCCATTAATAAAATAATTGAATAACACCATACAGACTTAATGTAATTTGTTTTCCCCGTTAGTTCATTTATATACAAAAATCATATTCTGCTATTTTGATAAGCCTTTAAGTGTGGTAGAAAGTTATATTAAAATTTTAGATGATTTATAGGGTTACCAGAAATTTGTTTGAAAGAAATTTCATTGACACAAAATTGATCGACGGAAGTAACGGAAATTTGATCGAAATTTTTTTTCAGATCACGCGATAAAATCTTTGTCAAATTTCTTTTTAAACGCACTATACTATAGAGTAAAACAAATAAATGCATGCAAAAAGAAATTTGATGCAAAATTTAAACGTGTTAACAAATTTCCGGATATAATTTATATTCTACCGACTGAATAAAAAGAAAAATGGAATGGAAAAAAAAGGTGCACCAGGGACATATCAAGTGAAATAATCTATGATCTCTCTACATTTAAAATTGAACTGACGGATTTTCTTATTATATTTTAAATTTGCTATTACAAAATTTTATAGTTTGCATAGTTCAGCATATGTGACAAAACCAGTTTAATTTAATGTTTTTGACATAAGCTTTAAGTGTAAAAATTAAATGCTTCAATCATAAAAACCTGCAAGCCTTCTTCAGTCCTAGCCAGTGCTTTTTCAATATCTGCTGCAGTGATACTGCCTCCACTTGCTGCCATTTTTTCTCGAAGCTGTCGCAAGTCATCTTGAACCTTTGGTAATAATGATAATAATTAATATGGTGAGAAATAAATAATAATATACCCAAAAATGTAATAAATCAAAAATAAATTTTAAAAATCAATCATTAACATTGGATTATTTTGATGAACATTTTTTGTCTGTAAGTTGTAAGCCATGGCCATACGCTTTTACTTTTACTCAAACTCAATGCCTTTTCATTTCTATCTACATAAACATTCAAATATAACTATTTACTATAAATCAATATCGGTAATGTGTCTAAGTCTAACTATTAGTATCACTATTAATTTAACAATAGTTTAACAATATTTATTAAATTAATTAATAATAAATTAATATTAAAAATTAATTATATTATTTTTTATATTAACAGCATCATTGTGAATCAGTAATGAGTATGAATAGAGTAGGTCACATGTTTTTAATAATATTAATATTATATATTGTTATCAATAATTTATAATATTATAACTATAATAGTATAATTTATAATTACAGTAACCTCACTGGACCTCAGTCTCAGGCTTCAGACTATAACTGTAGTTAATATAAATAAATATTTTTATATAAAAATAATAAATTATTTATTTTACTTTAACAAGGATGTTTCCAACATCTTCAACTCTAGCTTCAACCTCTGTCATCTTTAAAATATTTCTTTTGGCATCTAAATAAAATTATGAATGTTATTTCGCAGAGCGTATGCTAAAGCATTTGATTATATACAACAGTCACAAATTTTTATTTAACATCTTTTGCAGCCGCCATAACGTTTCTGGGCAACGTTTTTAACATCAAGAATTGATGACGTACAACACATTTATCAGTCTAGCTACCCAATTATTCAAGATGAAACAATATTTAAATTTAATCGAACCCTTTTACCTATATTCTCATCTAAACTTGTTTTGCGATTTAAGTGTAAGAATTCTATCATAATAGAATGATACAGATAAATGGATGAGGAAGCAGATTAAAATTAAACACATTTTTGAAAGTCTGAAATATTAAATTTTTCAGACACAGCTTTATTAATTCGAAAAGATCCCTATTGAATAAAATAATAATTTGATTAAGGTTTTTGCTGTATATTTATTATTTAAATATGCTATTCCACTATTTCCAATCATTAACTAATATTTGAAATTTATTTTATGTATTTGTGTAAATTCCTTCCCTCTTTTTGTTTCTTTCTAACAGTTTTGGCATCTAGACTGTATGCAGTTTACACAATTTTCGATGACGTAGTCCGGTATCTAATTAAAAACATGGCACTGCCCATCGCATTATTTTCATCGTCTTCTGGTGATTTCAGGCCACAAGATTTTGTAAAAAGTATATTTCAAGATGATTATTACATGTATTTGCAACTATTTTTTTTCCATCTATTTGTTAAAAAATTCTATATGTTTAACATAGTATTGCAAAGAAATAGTAGAAAGAAAAAAAAAAGTTAACTTATTAACTGGATTTTGCCTTTCTGCCTTTCTTCTCATTCTACTTCCAACTTTGTCACTAGTCACTCGTGTCAAAGAATTCTTTTCACTCATGTTTTTTTTTGAGTTATTTGCATTATCACTTGTGTAGCAATTGAATTTCATATAAACTCATACTTATTTAACAAAGTAATTCACTTATGCCCAAAGCAATTCTTTGAAATAAAATAGATTTTATTCTAGTGAAAGTTAAGGAAGTCAAGTGATCCATTCATAATTTATTAATTTAATTTTAACTTTCCCTATGCAGAATTAAATAATGAACCTTCAAACAGTGGAATACTTGTATAATGTGCTCCACTATTATGTTAATTTAGATAGAATTCAGTTGTGGCATGGCTCCAAAAATTATGTGTATACTATACTGTCTTTTACATTTCCAAGCGCATCAAAGTATGTGAGGAAAAAAAAGTGTCTAATTTAATTAATAATTAATTTATAAATAATTTACCCTTTTTTTTCACGTTACATTAAATTAGGTACTTTGGTAGATTAAGGGAGACAAGTATAACATTTGTATGGGCATGGGAAATGGACACCATGCAGGAGTTTAAAATTTTTTTATGTCAGTGCTTTTGCATTAATGAAAGGACTATTTGTCATAAAATTGCAGTATTCTTTAACATGTTCACAATAGGGGACATCTTGACCTACACTCCAACATACTGTTTTGCCTTTTCAGGTCGACCTAAATTTTTTAAATTCATAGATATATATATTATTTTTTGAAGATCATGTCTTTGATATTAAATTCTGATGAGCATTATATATTGATGTATACGAGTGCTAGTTCTCATCGACCTAGGTCATGTCCAACATTTGTTATGCTTGTCCCAGTAACATGCATTATAAGGTCGCTCAGCTCAATATCGACCCTGCTTCCTTTTTAATGTCGAAAGATGCAGATATTTAGGAAATATTTTAATTTGATAACTTGTGTTTTAGAATAAACTAAGAAATAATTTAAGCAAGAATATTTTAATTTGAGGTTTAAAAACCGGTAGAGTGCATTTAATAAATTATCATAATTTGCTGTATGCAAAACATTGTATTAGTATTGGTATTGGGCAACCATTCACAGCCACTTACATAATGGCTATGTCTTAGAGTTTCATTCATAAGAGTTTGCCATATGCAAAAACTATTAAACCATTGATCAAGGAAAGCTTTAATTATAGTAATGTGCCAAAGTTTAAAATTCAAAATAAATAGTCCTAAAACAGTATTTTATTTTAGTATTTAGGGGATGTGTTGCCTTATTTATATAGACTATATTGCATATACCGGTATAATGGATCCCGTAGACTTTGTTAAAAGAAAAGACACATATCATATGTTATATTCCATTTACCGATATACATAGTGCATAGTTAAATAAGTTACAATTTATTATTTTTTTTACCCCAGTACCTACATTGTCCTACATTAATAGTATACTAATATGACACAATCACAAATCCACTTAAAATAGTCCATCTTCAATACCACATAGCTCACTAATCACAAGATAGCTTATCTGTTATATTACAAACATTTTATTTAATGAAATAACCTATTTTCCTACTTAAAGAAAAATTATGAACATTTTACACCAGCACATTGAATATTGTCAAATTCTGTTATTAACACAATCTAATTTTATAGACCCAAATTATCACATTACAGCCTAGATATCACTGAACAAGTAACTAGGTTCAGTAAATTTAAAAGTAAACAATTTTATAATACACCATATTTGGTAACCAATTTGGCTGTTTTGCTCATTGTTGTTGCTACCATTATTTATAATTTTTATAATAATCCTACCCATCATGCCTACAGTTATAGGGTCTAGTTAGCATATGCTGTTCTATAAATTTTCAAATTAAAACTAGGCCTAGTGTTACGCCCCCCATATCGTTCAATGAATTTGAACAAGCTCGTGGTCTAGGAGAGTTGGGAAAGGGGCTAACACAAGTAGATTTTAGACAAACTACTGGCTAAAATGAAGACAATCTGTGCTCTATATAAATGTACTTTATTACCTGGAATATAATATGAACAAAAATACATAAAATCTACATATTAAGAAATGAATAAAGGTCTAACCCTAACAATATCTAAATCTCACAGTACTTATACCAAATCATTTTGTGTGGCTTAAATGTAGGCCAAACGTTCGCTGCAGATGCTGATCTGGCACCTTATTATTCTAAAGACTTGTCCTCCTTACTGAAAGGTGGTAAGCTGACAAGGCTAGGTCAGTGGGATATATAAACGAAATGGACATACCATGCACCGCTAGTAACACTAGTCCCAGCTCTACAAATACTTAGTTGGTGATTTTTCTATTTTAGTTTCAGTTTGCATTAATATTATGTTTCAATGCAAGCTGTTACCAGAAACTATAGTCCCTCTGAAGTCCTGCCTTACTAAATTCATAAAGTACCAGTATTTTTTAAGGCAATGTGTTCGTATCTTTTAAAACATTCAAAAATTATGATAATTCTCTTAAAATATATTAAATTTTTGTAATGAAACTTAATAATTCCATATGCACAATAGTGTTTTTCATCATTTGAGGGGAGCAATCACATGTTTATTGGCACCATACTTACGAATTTTTATTAATTACAGCCATACTGCAGGTTTCTGAACTACCAAAGCCTAAAACTATTAGTGAAGACATAAAAAGCTATGACTGGCATTTTGAAACAAAATATTACAGTACAACAGTTGAGCTCTGCACCACTGAGAATAGAACTATTGGCAACCAGGAATTTGCAGAATCGGTTGAAGCCTTCATTCATTACTTTGATCCCAACTTGGTGTGTGAATTATTCCATAGTTGAATTAAGAAACACATTAGGCATATGCTTTTTACCCTTCACAACACTAAATCTTAAAATATTTTTTGCTAATTCACTTATTTTTATGTTAATATTTTGATGTTAGCAAATTAAATTCCATTATCATTTCATTTGCAGCCATCATCATTTGAGCAAACTCAAGCTTGGTTGCCCTACCTGAAACACATTGAACCTGATGTTTTATTACTTGTTTGTAAGACAAGCAAACATTCTGATGGTAACTTGGTTCACTAATTTTTATTCTAATCATAAATTACAACTATGAAATTAAAGCAATAGATTGCTGCTATTTTACTTTAACAGTTTAAAACTATTTTGTAGACCTCATTTCTTGAAATACTATTCTGTAACTCAGTGGCTGTTTTTTTGTTGTTGTAATTTACAATTAATATCACCTTTGTAATTGTACAATAAACAGAATATTTTTGTCTACAGCAATATGCCGAAGAGTAACTCAAGAATGGTGTATACAAAATGGCTTTGAACTGGTTGAGCTGCAGCCAGAAATCAATCCAGAAGATGAAGGTATTTGGTTGGTTTTCTTTCCATTACAAATTGTTTAAACTATTAACATTTGTATAGTTTGCAATTTTTTAAATAAATTTTTCCATTATACTTAAAAGCAGGGTTTCCAACTCTGGGTTGCACAGGTGTCATTTCAGGGGGTGAGAGCAGTGGGTTGCTAGGGGAAGTGCTGCCTGGGGCAGACGGCCCCCCTCTTCACCACTGGGTGCAACAATAGTAATTAAAAGAACTGAGAAGCCATTGGCTTTTAATTAATGATTGATATATGTTTATATATTTTATTAATATTTTCAGTAACATTTCATTTATTTAATAAGTTTATTTTATCATTTCTAGAGTCCTCTTTTCAGTTCTTTAAATGAATTATTTATTTATTATTTTCTCAGTTAAAAATGCATTATTACTTTAGGAAGGACTGGGATACTAGTCAAATAATTCATTGTGGTTGGGGAGTATAGAAAAGGTTGGAGAACACTGCTTTTTAAAGGAATGTTATTTCATGTTTTGATGTTTTGTTTTTTAAACAGAAGATGACTTTCCTGAAACGACTGGGATGGCCAGAGTAATTCAAGCACTCCATGCTCATACATGGCCAAACTTATCTATGAAAAGTAGGTTAATGTCTAGAAAATAGTTTATACACATTTTACAGTAAAGGAATAATTTATGAAATTATATTAGTAACTTATATAAAAAAATTATTTATTATGGTTGCTCCAGGGCCCATATTGGCATGCATATAGTTTTTGTCAGGTACAGCTGAAATTAACTGTTTTTCTATTAGAAACATACTGTATAGGCCTATTTATTGACCTAAAAACAGTTTATGAATTACATCATCCAGTGAATAAACTCCATTTTATCCAAAAACAGTTCACACAAGTGGGGCTTGTAGATTAGAAGTCCAATGAATGTAAGAAATTTTTGTTTATCAGTTGGAATGTCCAGTTTTAAAATCAAGTTGACTTAGTTCCCATAACATTGAAGCTGGAATTGTAGTGTACATTTAAAAAGCATCTCTAGCCTTGATGTAAATTGAAAAGTGATAAAGGTGGATGTTATCTTGTCTTGTTTTGGAAAGGTTTCAGTCGGTAGCTCAGGTCTTATGACAGGAATAGCATTGCCCTGATAATTGGGTTGCCCAGTGTCCTAGTCACCAAGCTGTTTTTAATCCGGAATAAATTATAGACAGAAAAGTCACTGGCTCTTTTTACCGTATCCAATGCAAACAAAGGAAATTACAAACAACTATGACTATGAAAAAAAAAGATAATAAAATATACACTTGATGAACTGGAACAAGAAATTAATAAGTAAGCTTAAATACTTATTTTCAATATTTATAAAGTCCACTGTTATGGTATATCAAGTTAAATATAGTTTTTTCCACTAATTCATCAAAATTTGAGTGCACTTTGACCTGCCGTAACAAAGAAAAAAAACTTAACTAATAGTGAACTTTTTATTAGTCAAAAAATGTACAAAATCATCAACAGTCCTTTCTTCTTGTTTTTATCGGCCTTGTATCACTTTTGGACTTGAAATATAATCAACAAGGTTGGAAGATAAATTTTGAGTCTTTTTTTGTGTCATTTTAAGCTCCCACCCTTTAGTAAAGTTTCACAGGATTGGCGATACAGATGACGAAAATCATGTCATGAACAAAATGGAAACACGATGCACAGACTAAATTTTTTTAAAATTAAAAATCTTAATTTACGATTAAAATTGATATTTTTAAGATATTTATTTAAAAAGGTGAGAAAAAAAATCAAGTTATAATCCAACAATCATGTGATTGAAAAGTCAATATAACATACTTTTAGAGTTAAGAGGTTAAAATTAAATGTTTATTTGTTTTCCTAATGGTTTTTCAACATTTTCTTACTTAATTATAAAAAAATTTCATTGAACAAAAAATAAATTACATAAATGTTTTTCAAAGTGTGGTTGTGTTATATTTTAATAATAAATAAGGTTCTTATTTCTTTTCTATTAAGGTAGCCCAACTATTCAAAGCCCTTATTTACGTCAGATGATGAAAGAGCAACATTTGGCCAACCAACAGTTAACTGCAGCCACTTTTGACAGTTCATGTATTAACACAACATGCCAGTTATCCCCTACAATTTTAAGCAAAGAGACCCCACATGAAGACACTAATTATTCCGAGACTGGTCATGCTGTAAATAAAGTAAATAATTCATTAAATGGCTGTGATGTAGATTTAAATGATAGTGGTGCTACTTCATGTAAACCAGAAGAGGACATTTTAAAAATTGATGAGATTGACTGGAAAACTCTACTTGGAAAAGATGCTAAAATAGATGAAGGTTCGTTCCCTAAGCATTAGTATTAATGGTATATTTTCTTTTTGTAAAGGATGTTGTACCAAATAGACTATTTGAATCAAGTAGTGTATTAAGCCCTAAAATATAGCTTACAGCTGAATATGAATACAAACTGTAAGTATTTGGTCTATATGCCAACATAGTGATGTATGTTTGCAAACATAATTAAAACTACAATGGTAAAAAAACTGTAGTCAGCACTGGCAATTTTTTCACTCAATATGTTTTTAATGTAAATGAATTAATGGTTTTCATCACACTAATTTCAACTTTATTATGGAAAGAAAACTAGGCTAAAAAGGTGTTGTTGGTTTTTTTTTTAAATTAGCATATTTATATTTTTAAACATGTAGTAATGCAACAAGTTTGCTATCAATTTCACCATGCAAGAAATTGGGAAACTTATTACCTTTTATTCTCTTGTTTTTAAAAAATTACATTTACATATGTTGCAGAGTTCATGAATTAAAAACAAACATGATCATGGTGTCGGTTTTCATTATCAGTGCCTGAACAATAAATCTCTGTTTCTGTATTTTCACTTTCAGATATGCCATTAACAGACAATGATGTAGGTGTGGAAGAATTTGAACAATTATTTATGAAATTAAAAGTCATGAAAGGTATGGTTTCTCTTTAACTGTACAAGCAAGATTGCATGAAAATCCATATGATTGATTACTGTCTACATCAGCTGTTTTAAAATTAGGTCATTGTTTTCTGTGCAAGGGAGACTATTTTCAAGTTCATTTATTTCAAACTAAAATTAATAAAATAATTACTATAAATAAAGCTTACAATAAAAAATATTGATTCATACATGCACCCATGTTTTAAGACTCTGGTTCCCAACCAATGGGTTGCAATGTTTTTGTGTGGGGATTGCTAGTTGTAATAGTAATATTAAGAAAGAAATATAATTTTTCTATCTGTCTTTAATTAATGTAAATCGGAATCATTTCATACCTCATTGATTTTTTTTATGGGTTTTGACTGTATTTAATTTATTGTACTTCTTTAAAATGGCATCAGGAGTCAAGAAAGAAAAAAAATTAATGTTTAACTAAAAATTTCCTCATTGCTTGTTTGAATAAAATCCATAGAATCATTGATCAAAAATTCAAATTCTTTCATGGAAATTATTTTTTTTTAATTAATAAAATGTAATGCAAATTTAATTTTGTTTGCTTAATAAGGTAATCATTTTTAATATTTAATTATTTTTTTTTACAGACAGAGCTGAAAACTTACCAGCAGAAGAAAGAAAAAAATATGCAGAGAAGGTACCATGTTCTTTATATTTGAAACTATAAGTTTAGCCCCATGTTTGGAATTTTTAATATTTACATTCATAAAGTAAATTTTTGTTGAAGTTTTATAATGTTTCAAACAACACTTTTAATTAAACATTTACTTATTTAAGGTGGCAATATCTTTTTGGAAAGCCATTGGAGGAGATGAAGATGAGATCGAAGGACTTGGTGATTCAGATTAATGTTTTCGCAAACAAGAAAAATGACCACAGCACACTCTTATTAGTCTTATGTAAAATGTGGACAAGGAAGACTAAATTAAACTTCAGTTTCCAAGTCTTTAAAATGTGTCTGTGCTGTATAAAATGTAAATTATTCATAAAAAAAAAAAAAAGAACAGCAGTTTATTAGTTTGTCACAATAATTTATTTTGAGCTACATGTAATTCATGTTCTAAATGCAATAAGTTTACTTTTGTCTATAAAGTATCTTTGGTACACCAGAATGTTCATTACATTACCATTTAACTTGTGATATATTTCAATGTACATTCAAAATTTTACCATTAAAATTTTGTTTTTTTAAAGTTGCATTTGTAGACATTTTAGTCAATATTCCTTGATCTACAGTTAACGATTTTTATAAAGTTTATATTTCGCAATTCTTTTTTTAAAATGATTAATCTGAGCATGAAATATAAGTTATAAATATTCAAATTAAAATTTTTAAAAAAATATTTTCAGACTGCTAGAGTTCTCTTAGTAGAAATTACTAATTTGTAGACCGTATGTATAGATTAAAAATATTTTCATAGTCTTTAAACCAATTGAGTTTCAGAGACAAACTGAACAGTTACAAAAAAGCTATAAAAAAATGGGTTCAAATGGATCATTATTATTATTACATCAATTAGAAAATTAAGAAAGGATTAAATATTATTTTCACTCATCCACTGCAATATGCAACATTTCTGAATCACTGTCTTCTGTGAAAAACATTTTACTTTCATTATCAATACAGCTTGCCTCTTTTAAAGTTATTTTATCAATGTTTACATTTCCATCTGCTTTTTCTGCTTGATCCATTTGACTATTAGCATGTCCAGTCTTTTCTATTGATTCCTGAAACATAGTTTGTGAATCAAGTTCAGATTCACCAGATGAATTAGTTTTATTACTGTGATTACTATCTGGTGCCCTTTTGGGGTTTTCCATATCATTGCTTTGTTGACTATTTCTCAGTTCTTTAGCTGCACAACCTAAGTTTCCATCACAGTCCACTAGTCCTTTTCTTCCAGTTTCCTCTAGAATCTCTGGTACAGGCCCATTTTGACTGATTGATTCATCTAATGTACTCCCACAGACCTGCCTAGTTCCGATTTCTGGGAATAATAAATAATTAGGGTTAGTGAAGGAAGTAACTAAATTCCAGCAATTTAATTTGAATTTAAATGAAATAAGAAATAAGTAAACTAAGCAATTTTTTAAGTAACTGGACGACACCTCTTATTCTGACATATTTCCAAAGAAAGTCGACTAAACTAACCTGTAGATTTAGCAGCTCGTGCAGCCCTTCTCTCTAAAGCCAGCTTTCTATTTCTCTCTATTCTTGCTTTTACGTCATCATTCACAGACTGAAACAAAACAAAACAATATCCATATGAAAGGAAAAACATATTTTAAATCTATTAACCAACTCCTTCCTAACCAACCAATTATGCAAACCCTCTCTTTTGACAAGAGAAGGGGAATAACTCCATTCTGGAAAACTGCATGTTTAGTTAAGGGGACAGGCTACCCAAAAATTTTTTTTTTTAAATTAACCAACTTAGAGCAATTATTTTATTATGGTGATGTTAAGCTATGAATGGAGATGTATTTTCATGCTTAAAAAAAAAAAAAATTAAATAGTTGCCATGGCAACGGCGGCCATCTTGAAAATAATACCCATTCGTAGAGTTCTAAAATTTTAAAAGCAAACTTACATATTGCTTAAAAAATGATTGATTCATGAACTTCCATTATATTTAGAGGTACTGAGCTAGTTTAATTTCCTTCAAACTTTTCAAAACATTTTTTTTTTAATTTTTAAAATTTGCCTCTGCAGAAAACGCTTAAAATTTACCATCCTAGGATATGAAAAAAATTATTTTAACAAAAGTAATTGACCAAATTGATTTTTGAATAGCTCATTACCCACAAAATAGTTAATGGAAGATACACACCAAATTTTATTACTCTAGCTTGTATATTAGCTGAAATTTTTAGAATTCTACGTTACAAAACAACAGAAAAAAACAATTTTGAGAAAAATCAATTTTAAACTTTAAAAGTGAAAAATTTTAAGTTTAATATGAAAATGAAGTTCTTTTACATAGTTTTTTTTGTTCAGCAAATGGACATGGTGGTTTCTTATATTATTGAACTGTTGAATGCACCAGGAACATGGGTTTTAACTTCTTGAACTTCATCAGGTGCTCTCGTCAAAATCACAATTTTAAACCAAAAAAATTTTTTCCTCTGGAATAAAGCTAATTGTGTTGTATTAGAATTTTTTGTTCAGCATTATAATATAACACAAGTTATCCAAAGTCCCCAATCAACCCTTTTGTCCATGATCCTTTTAACGATGCTTAGATGACAAGGTTATGTTGCTGTCACCATCACTGAAATTGAAGCATAGTTTCATGGCAGCAATGCTATGTTGAAACTTTTTTACCTATTCTGTGTACTTCTTTCATCAAAGATGTCCCTCATACTAGAGGTGAATGAGTTATTTGTCTATTAGAAATGTAATAATTGCAGATACTTGCTCATAAATGTTTCATGTCTTCGGCATAGCGCAGTTTTTATACTTTGTGCAGGTTATAAATTTTGCGGTGCAGCTGGATTGTTTATCGCAGATATCCTAGATTGCAACTTTTCATAGTCCATGCCATTGTCCTTAAGGCCTTAGAGTCTATAATTGATAATGACTTGGTTATCCAGTTGTTGATATGAACAATCTAACCACTCACAATCTAGTCATTGTTATGTTCATAGTATTTACTATTTTGTTTTGCAATCAGCTGTAAGCTATGGCTTCTGCAATTCGTCCATTCCTCTGCAGACAGAAGAATTTTGGTAAAAGCTTTGAATTATGATCTTTTCGAAATCAATGTTTAGCAGTCCCTCTGTAGAATTCTTGTCACTGAAGAATTAACTTTTGCTCGGCTCGGTAGAAATAATTGGGGGCTGGAATGGAATTAAAAAATTATATAAACATCATTTAGCAAATAATGTATTGAAAATGATCTCAATAAGCCTATTAGTATTATTTAGATGTTTAGGATTGCTAAACTAAATATTTATTTTATTATAATTACTATTATTAGTCTATTGAACTGATCTTATAAATAAGAAATAATATAAAACTAATTAGCTATTAGTATTACTATTAATAATTGTATGCAGATAAAAAAAATGAATAAGGCTAAGATTAAACTATTTGAGTTAAAACATACTAATACGAATTATTTTGCCCATACTGCTAATGCTAATACCATAATTATAGTAGTATTAGTATTACGGCATATTGATAGTTGTTGTTACTGAATGTTGGTCCTAGCCTTAGTCTTAGCCTATACTATTACTTTGAACTACTCGATTATTTATCAATGTTGTTTTGTTAGACAACTATAAATAAATAGGCTTAGGATTCATATAATTTAAGAATTCATTTGATTGGTAAATATAAAGACTAATAGTAGAAACTTATGTAATTCTCCGCATAAGGCAAGGCATAAGCTAAACATAAACTCACAAACAATCCACACGCACGATCAATCATCATGGAAACACAGTGACAGTACTGACGTCAGAACTGAATAATTTCAACTATCACCGATTGCGTGTTGCTAAAGTAAGGTAATTTTTTTAGTATACTTACCTTGAATTTCTGTCTTTTACCGAATGGGTAAGGTTGTAAACGTGTATTTTAAAATCAAAATATACTGATGCTTTTGTTTGCAAAATTTCGTTCTGTACACAGAACCATGATCCGGTAAACACACATAAACAACTCGTTTGCGCATGCTCGAGTCAACCGTATCTTGGTTACCCTCAGTTTGGACCAATGAAAATCGGTAAAATAATTATATAAATAGAAGTGAAGAAAATCCTACACACACTTCGCTTGTGGATCCGATTATCTGTAGCAATTATATTTACTGACTTCGATTATAAATATAAAAAAAACTGCTTGAATTTACCTTTACATTGATATATAATAATAGCATATTATGTTATTTAAAACTAGTTTTTTGAGGTCTCAAACTTGGGATATGTATGAATTTTATTTTATTTCCAAAATTAGGTCAATTTTTAGAGTGGGGTGGGGTGTTAAATATCAGTTGTTTCACAACAAATCTTTTAAAAAGTAGTATAAATTGATATGTAATCGATTCTAAGAATGTTCATCTTTGCAAAAATGAAAAAATAAAAAAATGGAAAATTTTTGAAAAATTTAGATATTTTCGGGCGCCTACCGCCTTAAAATTAATTACCAAAATAAAAATTATATAACAATGCAAAAAATAATGTTCAGAACTATTATTTAAAATACATAAATAAAGTTTTACATTATCTCTATTGGTCAGACTTGTGGTAACAGGATGGATAGGAGAAGATGGAGGTTCTGGCATAGAGTCCTTATTACTTTCACTGATGGCAGTATTGACGGGCCTTTCCTGATCTCGCAGAAGGTCTTCAAGTTCTTCTTCATCTATCTGTTCAAGATTTTGAAATATATTAAAAATATTAAATAGAAATTGTAGTTGCTGCACAAAAGAATAGATTGGACTGAAGAACAAACGAAGATCATTTTAGCAATTTAGTTTTCACTCACACTATCTTCTGGTGAAGTATTCGGTCTGCGAATGCTGACATTCTCATTTTCTTCAGTTCCACTTTGCCTTCCCCTCTGTACCTGATCCTCTTCCTCATCTTCCTCTGCTACTTCAGAGGCCAACACGGGCATGTCTAGACGGATTCTTTTCACACAATTCTGAAATTTAAACAAAAAAAAATCAACCTATTTTCTAGATATATTTTAGACAAGTAAAACAAATTTCATAAGAGTTCCAACTCTCTGAAAAGAGTTAACTTATTCACATGGTATTTTAATTTTATTTAGATATTATATATTTTCCATATTACTGGTTCACCTGAACATCTTTCTTAGAACCAAGTCTTTCCACTCTTTCAAGAACTTCAGCAAATGGCATTTTAGGAAACAGACGGTGCCCCCAATGTTCCAGGTGGCGCATAATCACTTTGAGATCTTCTGCCTTGCAATCAGAAAAAGAATAATGGCACAAATTATATTAAAAATGAACCAATACAATGTTTTTCTTACATCAAATAATCATACTTAAGTACAAATTAATAGCATCAAGATTTGTTAATAGTGAATATTTTAGACAATGGGATGGTCATTCCCATTATGAAAGAAAAATTCTTTTAAGAAATTATGTTAAAAAATACCGTTAAAAAAGGAGAACTATAAACCATTAAAAAAAAAACAAAGGAGAACTGTAAATATATATATTTTTAAATAATCTTATTAAGAAAAAAGAAAAGCTGATCTTTACCTCATGATTTTTGCCTTTCAGTGAAACATTTTGAAAAACTTTAGGCAATATGGGAATGCCACGTTCACCAGTTAATCTAAAATAAATACACATATATATTAAAATTTTATTTCATATGTATTGCAACATGACAAAAAATATTTAATGTAACAAGTCAAAGAAAAATGAAAGCACAAAATTATTTTTTTATACAGTGTGGTGCATAGGAGCTGGGGGGAAATAGAGAGCAAAAATAGTAAGTAGCTTGAGAAATCCAATGAGGAATACATATTTATTATGTATATTTGATGGACACTGTACTGGAAAGAAGTGGCCAAAATATATACCTTATTTATTGGTGTATAACACAAACTTTTTCTCCCCGAAAATAGGGGGCGAATCATGTGTGCGTGATATACGCCGATATAATGTTTAAGTTTTTTTTCCCCTGAAATTTTCTTCTTAAATTGAGGTGTGTGTTATACGTGGGGGCGTGTTATATGCCAATAAATATGGTGTATATGAACAACTCTCAAAGAACTTAAACTAATAAACAAAATAAAGATAATTCTTTTTGCTGATTTTATAAAGATAAATACAGTGACACCATCTAAAAGAACTACTCTCCTCTCCCAGAAGTGTTTATTAAGCAGCAATACTTGGTTATAAAAGATAGTAAAGCTGATTTCACACATTAAAATCTATAAAAAGATTTATTACTAATTTACAGTAAACTTCATATTTACAAAGTAATTAAGTTTTTGAAGGCTTGATGTGTAAACAAAAGTAGACAAAAGGATGAACAAGAGTAAAAGTGATGAAGTACTGATACAAGTATCAAGGTGTTTTGTCATTGGATTACAGCATTAACAAAGGAAGGGTTGTTACAATTAATGTAGGACGCAAAGCTGATTCAAAGATAAATGTAGCAAAGCATACTTTCTATCTCATTCAGTTCATGTTAAGTTTAAAAAATTTTTTTGGTTTATTATTTTTTTCTTTTACTATGTGAGTTAGCAGCTACCAATGTTAGATTTATTTATTTTTTAGGACATTAATGCTTTATTGATAAATGTGGTTGGCATTTCTGTCTTTTATAACCTTTTCATGCACAAAGTTTAAACAGCTTAAAAAAACAACCCTTTCCATCATAATTATTTAAGGAGAACCCAGTGTCATGATTACCGATTAGCATCAAGTTTGGGGTAAGATCTCTTAACTGTGTTTTTTGCAGCACCTTTCATACTTTTCAATTTTGCCAATAATTCTGGATCATCTGAAAGAAAGCAGAGTAGGCAATGCTGAAGTTAATTATGTAAATGAATGATACTTCAATATGGTCACTCATTAAATGGTATACGGTTAATCTTTCAATGGTATATGGTTACCGGTACTTACCAATGCCGGGTAATTATTAAAAAATCATTTTTCTGTTGCACCAAAGATATTAGCAAAGAAATTTATTGAAAGAAAATTAAAGCGTAAATTAGGGCTGAGACACATATTCACCTTGCTGATCATTGTCACCATTATCTTCATTTTGAAAGTTCCTCATTGGTTCCAGTTCGTCTTCCAAGTCCGGAAGTCTTGCAGGATTAAAATCATCTGCATCTTCATGTTCATCAAATATGTCATCCATTTCTAAAGGAATGCTATCCATTTCTGAAGAATAAAATTGTTTAATAGACAATAGAAGCACAATTAAAAAAAGAAAATGTATTTAAAATGAGTAGTATATATGATACCAGAGGTACCAGTGTCAGCTAGTGACTTACAGTGTAATAGCTTTGAGAAGCACTTAAGCTAGTAACAATGTAGGCATTTTATTTTACTAACAGCGTATATTTAAAATGTTTACTTTATTACCCGAATTATTTTTTTCATGAACAATTAAATTAATACAGTGATTAAAAAATTTACTAAGTTTAATTATACACAGAGATCAAATGATATCACGACAAAATTAAAAACTGGATATTTTTCTGTTACATAAATTCTTTAGATTATGATACAATTTTAAGATATAACAGTACAAGAGTTTCAACAATTTAATGAAATAAAATCTGAATTTAAATTAAAGAACTACAATATAGGCCCTGCAGAAATTAATTCAGATTACTTTTTCTTTAAAATTATGTATTTCATATATATATATTCAAGCAGATGAAATAGATGGTTCACTTAAGTTCAAGTTCGCCTAAAACAAGATCTTTAACAAAATCAGTGAGGGGCATTTCAAAATCAGAACGACTGATTTCATCTTCATCTAGCTTCCAGTTGCTGACCGTAATGTAGCTTTCGAATGATTCTGACATTTTTCTGTCAAAGACTTTCTCTGTCCTTCCAGGATATAGGAGCCAGAATGATCAATTCATTGATCGTGGGCCCTTAAAATAAAGAAGAAGAAGAAGAAGGATAAGGTGTATCTTTCCCATTATCATGCCATATGCGCTCAAACAAATGACCGCTTGAATTTTTGGTCATTTCTAATTTCTATTGTAGTTTGGTTGATAAACAGTTTAATGTACAGCAAGTTATCTACAGAAACATTCGAAAAAACAGGGTCATCCTTTTTTTTTTTCAAGGGCACTTTTTACCAGTTTACCTTACCAATTGATTTGTGATGACTCTTACCACATTTTGCAGCTTCAACATTTTGTCAGTGAACCATGTCTTTTTTTGTTATCAACCTCCTGCATTCAGAATTTTTCCTTGCAATGTACCCCTCCTTGATCGCAAATTTAATATGTGCTTTTCTCTTTATAGCCTGTTTCTCGAGAAGCCAAGAAACAGTCCCACTCATGGGTCCTTTGACTTTTACATTGAAAAAGACCAAAGTTGCATTGGGTGCACGCTTCCATAACCACCAAGCATGCTAAGTGCACGCTCAGAAATACAAATTATGCATATTAACTGCACATCCATTCCCAAGATAGATTTTAGAAGATGATACTCCTTGGTCTTCATCTATTTCTAAGAGAGCCTTCCTTGCAGCACTTGCGAAACCATCAAGGGTGTGAACATTGCAATTCAATTCCAGAATATTGCTGTCAAACAGTTGCTCTAATTGTTGAAAAACACTATGGTTGTCAGGTACCATATCTCTTAGTGTATTTTTAATTTTACTTATGAGACAGTGATAATAAAGCCGTCTGGGCTTCAGGTACTCTGGCGTATTTTGCATAGAGCTAGGGGACATCCTCAATGATTCCTTAATGTGTTCACTGCAATCTACAGCCCCTTCCATCAGCTAACTGTCTAATGTAAGCTGTTTTGTAGGTGTCATGGATATATGTATTTCATTGATGTGATAGCCATCAATGCTGGTAGCGTCTCACGATAGTGTAACATTAGCATAGGATGATAAGGCTGTAGCTACTTGTAAGTTGGCCAAAATTCCCCAAACTCGCAAGACATCTGATTAGTCAGTGTTCATCCAGTCCAACAGCACAGAATGGAACATTATGCAACAGTGATTTGTAAATCACCATTGTTGTGGCCATATCATGTCTTTTGTCTGTATTAAGTTTGCATTATCAGTATTATCCTCCAATTCCAATAATGATCATGCAAGATTATGGATCTTGACCAAACTTAGTGACAGGATCAAATAGGGATCCTGCGGCAAACGGGATCCCATCGGAGAAAGGATCGCACGGGAAACGGGATCCTAGTGGAATCGGGATCCCATTTGGAAAAGGGTACAATTTGGAAAGTGGTATCCTACTTGGAAATGGGATCCCATTTGGATCTCAATTAGTTCGGATCCCACAGGGGTCGGAGTCCCATTAGGATATGAGATGCCATTTAGAATAAAGATGCCAATGGGGTCAGGATCCCATTTAGAAAGGGGATCCTTTCAGGTTCAGAATGGGGTCGGGATAACAATGGGGTCGAGATCCCAATGGGTTGGGATCCTAATGACATCCTTTTTGATAAAGTGATCCCAATCGAAGATACCTTATATTTACAAAGGATTTTCAAAATACAGGTTGATTGAAAAAGCAAAATAGCTGGATGGAAATGTAGGCCAATATGTCTTCCAAAGTGAAATCGCGGAAATGGAACTTAAATATTATTGTATGTAAAAAATACTCATTTATCAATGAATTGACACTCACATTAAAAAATAAAAAACTCTGATTGTACTGCGCCGACCCCCATTTCCGATACAAATTTTGAAGTAGTCTCCCTTGCTTTACCAAAGAGCCTACAACAATACTATTAGAATATACCCATTTTCCAAATGCCGGGAAGTTTAAATATTAAACTTAACCACCAAATGAAATTTATAATTTAAAATATTTCATGGTGCAATAATATTTGTAAAAAGTAAAATTAACTCTAGTACCATTGACCAATCCAAGAATAAACACATCCAACAAAGAAACTCAAAGTGGCACAGATTGCGTAAATTGACCAGGTATGTTATTACTAACATTAAAATAAAATCAAAATTTAAGTATAGACTTCATTTTATAATTATGATGACATTTTTTTTTGTCAGTACAGTAGCTGTCATACTACAGACTGTAGCCTCTACTTTTAATATTCTTATTCTTAATTTTTAATGAATGCTGAGTCCCGCTACTCTACTATTCAAGAAGTACTAAACTATACCTTCTTAGTGTTAGTGTCTTCAGTCCCAGCACAGCCATGTATTTAAACTGACTAAAGACTTAAATTAACTACTTTTACAAGTATACAGGGTGGGCCAATAAAAGTGAGAACATCTCGTAGCGTATGAGTTATTTCAAAATATAATTTAATTATAATTTTCATGGAATTTTTTTTGCAAAATAATCATGTTCATTGTGTCCTCCTTGCCTCTCAACGACTTTTACCAAGCGTCGACGCCACTCATTTATGCTTCTGTCAATGAAACGTTACCCTAGATTTCGCCATTCCTCGATTATTGCCAACTTGAGCTGCTTAACTGTGGTAAATTTTTACCGAAGGTAGACTTTTTCTTGCAAAGCACCCCATATGGCATAATCTACTGGGTTTAAATCTGGGCTGTTCGGTAGCCACAAGTCTGGCACGATGAAGTTAATATTCTTCCGATGAAGAAAGTTGATTTAGTTCTGGCTGTGTGAGATGGAACTCCGTCCTGCTTCAATGTCCAGTTATGGCGACCACATTTCACTTGAATGTCAGGCAACAATCCTCTTCTGAAAACTTGTTCACAATAATATTCACTGTTTACTTTGGCGCCTGGTTTGACGAAAACAAAACTAGTTTTCCCCATTTGAGACACACCAAATGATACCATGATAATGCGGCTGAAATAGTTATACTCTCGTATTAGTCGCCTTTCTTGAACCTGTTTTTTCTTTGTTGCAACGGAATAAACATGATCATTTTGAGAATTAACTGGCATTGCAATGGTATATGTCTTTTTGTCTGTAAACCAGATGCTTCGTACATTTCTCTCATTAATAAATCGTTCAAGTAGCTGCCGACTGCGTTACAAGCGTTTCAACTTGCCATTTCATTGAGCATCTGCCCGATCACACGCTTGTACGTTTTAAGCTGTAAATCTTGCTTTACAATACGTCGAACCAAAGACCGTGGTATACCAGTTTCTCTATCTATTTCCCGCAGACTTTTGTGACTGTGAGGATCATCATATTGACTGCAGATAAGCTCACTCACTCGTTCAATGTTCTGTTGTGTTCTAACAGTATTTAGTCGACCACTTCCTGTTTTACGTTCCGTTGAACCATCATTGTCAATTTTATTGATAACCCGACTGACACTTGTTATGCTCCAGGCTTTGTTTGGAAACTCTGTCATTTTCCTAGCACCCCCACTGTTTTTCAATTCGCAAATGTTTAATCAGAATACGGTCTTCTGCAGTGATTTTTGTCATTCTGGGCAAAAAATTTAAACAAGCAGACGACGTAAACAATTGGCAGATTAAAAATAAAAAATGGCGACCGGAAAAAGTCCAAATAATGAAGTCATACATAGCTAATTATGTAAATGTAAGTAAGTAAACCAATAAACTATTTAAGCTAGTATGGATATAGCTAAACTATATTTGATGTGATTAAATAAAATTTTACAAGATGTTCTCACTTTTATTGGCCCACGCCCACCCTGTAAGATAAGTAAATAAAGTTGTTAACTAAATACTACTAATAACTAATACTAATAACTAATAAGTCTAATAAAAATAAAATGAATGTTAAGCTAGACTAGGATTGCAAGTTTAGTCGTAATCAACAAAGGCAAAAGTGTCTAAATGCTTACGGCACGGCTACTCTTAAATTGCTACCACCTACATTTAAAGTGAGTGAAGCTGGTTTACCGGGATTAGAATGATGAAGTTTATTTGTTATTTTTCGTTCTTCTCAGGATTCGTCAAGATCAGCTGATTCTGAAAGTAGATTTCGCGGGTAATCCATGAATAGATTGTTGTTCCTGTCCTTGTAAAAACAGTTACCGGCAACAGCTACGATTTTAACCCCCAAAAAAGTGTACGCTAAGCATCAAGAAACGCATTTTTAAATAATTAAGAATATTCTACCAACTACTACACTCTAAAAATGGTACTTCAATTTTAATTCACCGCAAAATTGATCATTAATGCTATTCTAAGTCTATGCAGTTAAAACCGATTTAATAAGTGCAACTGCTTCTGCAGACACCATGAATTCTTAGACAATTTCTGCATTAGTCATTAGTTAGTATTGGTTCACAATGAAGTCAGTTGTATCTTGTTTCTACAACAACACGGTATTATATATGCTGTCAGACGATGTGCTAACAACCACAAAGTTAACGGAATGTCAATACTCAACGCATCGCACATAAGAGGAAATAGGCAAAAGAGAGAAACAATGGCGCACACATACATATTAAAATATGCTCAATTTTTATGTGTGGGTTCATTTTGCGTCGAAGTGTTTAAAAAAATGGTTTAAATGTATTCAACGCCATTCTAGACAATATTGTTCAAATTTGGCCACCACAGTAGCGGGGGACTTTAAAAGAAGTAAATATGTTTTAATTTAGTGCAAAATAAAATTTGTTTTATTGGAAATGTGAAGTGTTTGAATGATTCAATGGAAATGTCACATGTCGTGCCATGTGAAATAATGTAGCTAGGCCTATAATTTACATTAATTTTTGCGTTGAATTAAACGTTTTTATTCAAAAGAACATTTCTTTAATTGGAAGTGTGAATACTAATAATTTTTGTGGTGAATTAAAATTGAAGTACCCTAAAAATTACTTGCGAGTAATTTGCAAGCGAGGTTTCCATAAAATATAATAGTCGTATTGTTGCATTTGCGGAGGAAGCATCGGCTGAAAAAAAATATTTGTTTTACTAACTTAGACTTATTGTTTAAACTTGCTTTGTAAGTTTTTATT